GAAAGTCCAATTCCCCTCACTGTGGAGGAATAATTACACACTGACAAATAATGCCAGTCTTAATTTTGATGCATTTGTTTCTCTGAGCATCTATCCACTGAGAAGCTATTTTTGGCCTTTAAATTCACGACAAAGCAAATTTGGGTTGTTGAAAAAAATTCAATACACTTAGACAAGACCTCTGCAAATTAGGCAGAGAGAGAGAGAGAGGAAGCCATAATTTTGAAGAACAATTTGTCATGCTCATGGTCATGCTCATGTTGGGCGGCGTAGCAGCGTTGGCTGGGAGGCGGGCGTGAACCTCCTTGACTTTTTATGATTTGAACGCCATAAAAATAAATAAAAATATATAAAAATATAAAAAAAAAAGAGAGGAAAATTTGATAACTAATTTAATGTTAAAAGGGTAATGAAGGTTTTTCATCTCATTAATTGAGCTAAATAAATGTATTTGCTGTCAGTTTTAGGTTTTTTTGGAGTTTGTTTATAGAAATAAAATGGTATAATGTTTTTTTTGGGTTTGTTAATTTATTCTTTTGTTTCTTTATCTCTAAAATGGGGTATATTAGTTAATTAATCAACCTTCTAGTCAATTACTGGGGACATGGATCATTTGGGAAGTAGCTTCAAGGGCCATGGACCATGGAAGCCATTAGCTGCGAAGATAAATTTTTTACGAAGATGCCAGTCACCATCGCATGTATACGTTATTTTCCTTAGTCAGATAATATGTTTTTTTTTTATATAGTAAGATAATATGTTGTTTTCCTTAAAAAAAAAAAATTATAACACAAGCGATGCTGAAAGAATGAGATTTTGGATGCATAAATAATTCATTTTCACCACTTCAGTTATAAACCCCTTACGTTGCTGCTGATGTTATCAACGCATGCCTCGAAGGAGACTTGGATGACTTGGCTTGTTTGTTTGCATACGGGGTACCACAAGCACAAGTCCAACTTTAAACCAAATCAAATTGCATGATCTCATATCCTAATCCTAATGGTTGAATATTTTTCTTTTGATTGGTTATAATATCAGAGGAGACCAATTGAAAGCTTCCTCTTATAAATAATGAGTTTCTAAACAAAACAATATTAGTCCGTTTGAAGACTAATCAACAAAAAAGCGAAATTGGAATCTAACTTGTTTTGGACTATGTCAAGTGTGAGTCCTAGTCGAAGTCGAGCTATGGTATGATGCCATGCTGTTTATGAGAGGTGGCGTGTGTTCATTGGTTCAAGTACCGTTGTTTTGACTGTGAAACGTGGCATTATTATGTTAGTTTGTTATCTTTAAATCAGGGAATTGGCTACTGAGATGTTAAACGGTTGGATTAGGCGCTCAGTTTTCAGTGGAATAGTCATGGTTTCATGGAGCCCCAGCCGCGAGTTCCAGTGGGTTTCAGTTGTCCAGGCAATTAGTGAGTCCCACGTGACTGGACATGTCTAAAGGCAAAACGAGCCCGAACTTGTGCTTGGGCTAGTTGACGTCAGGATTGACATTAGCAATGTAAATTTTTTTTCAAAAACATCGAAAAGAAATCTGAAAAATTCCAAAAAATTCAGAAACATTTTTTTTTATACATACCTAGCAATTTTATTATTACTAGCCCCTTGCCAATTAGTTTTATTTTATTATTTATTTTAGAATTAAGAAAAATAATATGAGTAGTTATGTTCTATAAAAGTAGGACATATTATCTGATTTTTTTTTAATTTTAATTTTTTTAATATGAAAAAAATGTAATTTATCATATTATCCTCATTTAATTAATAATTTTAATTCTTAATGTTTGTTGTTTTGACTGTGAAACGTGGCATTATTATGTTAGTTTGTTATCTTTAAATCAGGGAATTGGCTACTGAGATGTTAAACGGTTGGATTAGGCGCTCAGTTTTCAGTGGAATAGTCATGGTTTCATGGAGCCCCAGCCGCGAGTTCCAGTGGGTTTCAGTTGTCCAGGCAATTAGTGAGTCCCACGTGACTGGACATGTCTAAAGGCAAAACGAGCCCGAACTTGTGCTTGGGCTAGTTGACGTCAGGATTGACATTAGCAATGTAAATTTTTTTTCAAAAACATCGAAAAGAAATCTGAAAAATTCCAAAAAATTCAGAAACATTTTTTTTTATACATACCTAGCAATTTTATTATTACTAGCCCCTTGCCAATTAGTTTTATTTTATTATTTATTTTAGAATTAAGAAAAATAATATGAGTAGTTATGTTCTATAAAAGTAGGACATATTATCTGATTTTTTTTTAATTTTAATTTTTTTAATATGAAAAAAATGTGAATTTGCTATATTATCCTCATTTAATTAATATTTTTAATTTTTAATGTTTGAATTAACTAAGGGCATTTGCTGGTATTTTGAATGTTTCACAATTCTTTGTCTTTTACTTTATATATATTGATTAATTTCATACATATAAATAAAATTAATCCTATGTGAAAATCTCATCCAAAAATTTTATTCAAAAAATTCATTCTAATTTTTATAATAAATATTGACATGTGGCAACCGAAAATCTTCTCTAAATTAATCGTTTAAGTAAAAAAAAAAAAGGTTAAAGTGAATAGTATTTGCCTTTTGTCATAGCAATGGATGGAAACATGACAAGCATTTTGCAAGGGCTACCACTATTCATGAGTGGAAGCGCTCTAATGGAGCAACACGTGGGCTTGTAAGGCGAAGCACGCAGGCGCTAGGCTCGCTATGGACAATTTATTCCACATGTTGTCCTTAGGGCCCGACCGCATGAGTATTAAGAGGTTTTTGGGCCTTGTTTTTGGCCTTTTTAGCCCATCCACTTTCCTAAGTTGAGAGACTTTGTTTATGAGCTTTTTTGGGCAGCCCCAATTCATATTTGGTATCAACAATTTCTATGACAAATCTTGCCTTATTAACAATTAAAAATACCAAGACCTGCATTAATTAAATTTTTTATTGCATATTTTTAATTTACATGTATAAATTAAAAACTAAACAAAATGTGTTTCCAGTTCCTCCACAAATTGAACATGGGAAAGAATCTTCTATTTCCCATCAATTCCTTTTCATTAACCAAACAGGTTCCAAGAGCATAGCAAGGGCGAAAGAACAAAAATTATAAATCAAATCCAATATGATCAATAAGACTCATCAATCAGTTCAAAGAATATGATTCGAAAGGCCTAAAGCCAAGTTTATTCATCTATATAAAGCAAATGGGCTTTATGTTGTTTTTTCTCGTGTGTATGGTTGATGTTGTTTACATACAACAAAGGAAAAGAGTCAATATATTTCTTTGGTTTTCTCATCTGCTAATCTGTTCTCGATGGAGGACCTATGTTGTGTGGAATTAGAAGCGTCAGGTATAAGATGGATATCAAGTATAGGCAAAATATGACAAAAACAAGTGAACCTGCAACACATAGAGGTTTATAATGGTTTAGCTTTTTAGCCTAGGAGGTCCAATTTGAAGACTGCAAGGAAATTGCACTGATAACAAAGGAGACTACAAAAGAGTGTGTAACTCTCAAAAACTTGAATCCCACAAACATCCAAATCACTTTCGTGCAAATGAGCCAAGAGCAAAGTTCAAATTCTTGCTCACAAATCCAAAGATCAAAAAGGAGAACAACACTAAATTTTGCAGTAGCTGAAACAAAAGGGGAAAAATGATATTTTCTCTCAAAATGCTACAACAAACAATCAACCAAAGAGAAATAAGAGATAGTGTGGTACTCATCCAGAAAAAAAAAACAGAAGATTTTTGTCACTTTCAAATGATGTGAGTCACACTGCCTTCGCTTTAGATGCTTATAGCTCTCTCAAATGTTTCCAAATGGTGATCTCCATGCCCAAACAAAAGAAAGAGTTTCTCTTACCAAATGTTGAGGTGCACACACCATAAAATGAGAATAAATACTTACATACATGAACAAATGGCTAACTTCAAAACCCTAAGCCACTAAACAAGTGGGCCAAATGGGATTTCTCGACCCCACACAAATGAGCTTTGAATTTATGCCCAATTACAACTATCTAGCCACGTTAGGAGCTTATGAGGGCCTTTGTTCGTTATAAGTATATATATATATTTTTTATACAAGCGATATTAGAGAAAGGGAAATTCGAACTTAGGACTTCAAGTGCATGGGTAAAAGTTCTTGACCACCTAAGCTACAAAACCCTTATTGTTTTTCATAAGTTTTTTTTGGACATGAAAGCAAGTTTCAATAAACTTGAAAAAATAGAATATGGGCATATAAAGCAAGCTCAATAAGATTCTATTAGAGAAATTTAGGCATATCTTGTTTTTGGTAACATGACTACTACTATATTGCTCATGCATTCTATTTGCTTAATTTCTATTTGAGTGTGTAATATACTAAGAGCTTAGAGATGTCAAATATCAAACATTAAATTTGAATTTGATGTGGCAATTTGACATACAATAGAGTTTTACATTCCACCTGATATGTCAAATTAAAATATTATTTTATTACAATGTTTATTGGTTTATTAGTTTCTAAGCACATTAATTAAAAAATAATAATGAAATAATGAAATAACATCACAAAGTCAAACGACCAAAAATAACAGCAGGAGAGAGAAATGTTATTTCATGCCACCATGCGTAGGATTTAACATTTCGGTTGAAGTGAGTCTCAGCTGTTTTTTCAACATGTAAAAAGTGCCACGTTGGATATAACATATGCCTTAGAGATGCTCTAAGTTTCATTGAGTTTTTGTTTTAGTTTTACAATTCCATGATTGAGAGGTTTGCTTATAAGTATATTTTAATGTGGTCAAAAGCCAACTCTAATCCCCTATGTGCTTAAGTTACAAAATTCTCAAAACTTCATCCTTGTCACCTACTTGGTTAGGTGTCATGTTTATTTATCAAGCAACTCATGGCAGGAAAGATTTGAGGAGGTGAGAATAATTTTTGGAACTCTTGAGCTATTTGTTTCTTATTATGCTGAGATCCTTATCTCTCTTCATTTGCACCAGTTCTCTTCTTCTTCACATAGAAACTGCTCCACTTATTTTCTCTTTTCTCTTGCTCTTTCAGAAAAACCTATCCTTCTCTCATCCCTTCATAACTTCAAGACATGTGATTAGGAAGGAAACAAGAAAGAGCTCTAGGTATGATTTCCTATTTGTTGTTACTTGCAGCTGTTTGTAAACCTCTGAGGTAGGGGTAATAAAGGATTTGTTATTATTTTGATTATAATTCCGCAATACATTTAGTTTGACCCTATATGTGTGTTATATCTACTTTTCAAGATGATTGTGTTTTGTATGAAGTTTTTGAAAACTGTGGTATTGGTTTGTGGTTTATGAGCCCAAGTTTAATGTGGTTTTGATCAAAGAAAGTACTTCAAAGGCTTGGGAGGAAAAAAGGTTTTGGAGAAAGGAGTAATTTGAACTGTTGTGAGTTTTAAAGCGTTTTGAGAAGGTTAGACATAAGGAATGGAATAAGAAGGAATTGTGTCTCCCTAGGGTGAAAGAACCTAAACCTAATCAGGGTTAGTTTGTGGTCTACTCGGTGGCCACAATTCGAGGCGGTTGCCGTGACCGATGACTAGAGCTTTTGAATACGATGTTGGGTTATCAAGAAAAGGCATTTGTTGAGTGTTGTGTATTTGAAACAAGAAGGAACTCCCATACTTTATCTCTTACACTATATTGTTAATTTTCCTATTAGTAGTTCTAACACATGATTTTGGTTTGATTCATTGAATTGTTTGAATGCATTCAAAGTTGTACGTTGTGTTGGAATCTTGATTTTAATGGATCCACTTTATTATTCCTACGGAGTTTGTGAAGCTCACCCTATTTTATCATTTCAGGACAAGAGCAAAGGGATGAATTAGTTAGTATCCCTGAGCTATCTTAAGGAGCTGAGCCAGGAGACTTTGCTTTGCTAGCTGTTTTTGCTATGATCCAGCTTTTTTTGACATCTTTGTTATGTTACTTGCAAAACTACTTTGTTGAGGGTGTAAATATGAGGTGGTTTGGTACTCTACTTATGGTGTTTGTGTTAGGGGACTGCAAGTCCTTTTGTGTACTTGTAGCTTAGAATATTTTAAGTCTGTAAATTACAACTTACTAAGTTGTTCTTGCTTGGTGTGATATGTTTCTCTTTCATACTTAGTCACTTGATGTTCAGTTAATAACCGATTTAATCCACTACACATGTCATACTCCAAGTTTTGGGGTATGAAGGAAACCACCTAAGCACCCATATGAATGAGCAAGCAATAGAAAAACAACTATGGAAAAACATAGGTCAAAAGTCACTTTTGGTCCCTATAGTTTGGTACTTCAACCACTTTTGACCATGTAGTTTCAATTCTGTCAATTTTGCCATTGTAGTTTCGTATTTGTAACAATTCAAGGATATGTTTGTATTCTTGTCAATTTCTTTAACGATACAAGGGGAAATTTCGTCAACCCAAAACCCTTGAGTGTAAATACTAGTATGAAATTCTCCCCATTTCATATTAGGTCTCGAAATTCAACCACTAATCCCAATTTTTGAAGAACCCTAAATCCAAATGACCAATTTCAAGCCTAATATGAAATTAGGGGAGTTTCAGACGAGCTTCTATGCTCAAGGATTTTGGGTTGAGGAAATTGCCATTTGCACCGTCAAAGAAATTGACAGGAATATTAATTTGTCCTTGAATTGCTACAAATACGAAACTACATGGTCAAAATTGATGGAATTGAAACTACAGGGTCAAAAATGATTGAAGTGCCAAACTACAGGGACCAAAAGTGACTTTTAGCCAAAAACATAACTCATAGCCAAAATGAACAAGCAACCTAAGAAAGGAAGGAGGTGTTGCAGCAAGCACCTGAGTAAGAGCTCTACACATCTTCCAAGAGGTACACAAAAACACACGTTTAAGATTGTATGCTACATCCAAAGGGTGAGGGCGGATCACAGAGGGAGAGAGATTTTGTAGGGGTTACACATAGAGAGATAAGATTGTGTAGATTTGGGTTATTGAGGGATTTAGCCTCAGATGCGCCAAAGAGAGTTCGTTATAAATTTGAAGTGTGAGTCATTTTGTAAGAAAACATAGAGTTTATCTTTCTAGTCTGTAACCTGTCACCTACACTTGAATAATAAGAACCCATTCCTCCATTTCATTATAGTACAAGATACTTGTCATGTAACAATCCAATTCTTAATTAATGTTTAATTATTAATATACCTATAGAATAAATTAATAATTAAAAATTAATTAAGGATCAGGTTGTTACATGTCGTCCCTCCTCATAAGGAGCTACTTCCCTGCCTTCATCGACAAATTATTTGTCACGCATAAGCCAACGAAACAAGGACTCAATTCTGTCAATTTTGCCATTGTAGTTTCGTATTTGTAACAATTCAAGGATATGTTTGTATTCTTGTCAATTTCTTTAACGATACAAGGGGAAATTTCGTCAACCCAAAACCCTTGAGTGTAAATACTAGTATGAAATTCTCCCCATTTCATATTAGGTCTCGAAATTCAACCACTAATCCCAATTTTTGAAGAACCCTAAATCCAAATGACCAATTTCAAGCCTAATATGAAATTAGGGGAGTTTCAGACGAGCTTCTATGCTCAAGGATTTTGGGTTGAGGAAATTGCCATTTGCACCGTCAAAGAAATTGACAGGAATATTAATTTGTCCTTGAATTGCTACAAATACGAAACTACATGGTCAAAATTGATGGAATTGAAACTACAGGGTCAAAAATGATTGAAGTGCCAAACTACAGGGACCAAAAGTGACTTTTAGCCAAAAACATAACTCATAGCCAAAATGAACAAGCAACCTAAGAAAGGAAGGAGGTGTTGCAGCAAGCACCTGAGTAAGAGCTCTACACATCTTCCAAGAGGTACACAAAAACACACGTTTAAGATTGTATGCTACATCCAAAGGGTGAGGGCGGATCACAGAGGGAGAGAGATTTTGTAGGGGTTACACATAGAGAGATAAGATTGTGTAGATTTGGGTTATTGAGGGATTTAGCCTCAGATGCGCCAAAGAGAGTTCGTTATAAATTTGAAGTGTGAGTCATTTTGTAAGAAAACATAGAGTTTATCTTTCTAGTCTGTAACCTGTCACCTACACTTGAATAATAAGAACCCATTCCTCCATTTCATTATAGTACAAGATACTTGTCATGTAACAATCCAATTCTTAATTAATGTTTAATTATTAATATACCTATAGAATAAATTAATAATTAAAAATTAATTAAGGATCAGGTTGTTACATGTCGTCCCTCCTCATAAGGAGCTACTTCCCTGCCTTCATCGACAAATTATTTGTCACGCATAAGCCAACGAAACAAGGACTCCAGGATCAATCTCCATTCAATGTTAACAAGCATAGCCATATTAAAACAAACAGTCTTTAAAACCCATGCCTACCGTTAATTTAAAAAAAGAAAAGAAAATAACTGCTTGCTAAATAAGCCGCAAAATCATCAAATTAATTAGCGTTCTGTTTTGGCTATTGATAATTTGATATCGTCACCGCTGAGTCAGACAACGATCCTTGCCACTATAAGATAAAAACGGATCACTCTTACGATAAGACCATTTGTTTAATAACCAACGAGAAATAAAAGCAGCTGTCCAATGAAATTTTGCCTGTGATACAATTACCTCCTCACGTGTAATGTTATCATACATATTCAGATAATCCTTGTACTTTTTTGTTTTTATTGGCATGGCATCCTGATTTTGTTCGAGAATCGAGATCAAGGCAAAAGATCATCTTGTCAAGTGACACATTTGCCACTGTTATTATCTCTAATAAGCAGCAACCAGAAGGGTAAACTGGTAAATCAAAACACATGTAACAAATGGTTTGGAAGTTTGAACCGTCCTGAATGCTATGGAAGGATAAGGGTGAGCTAATCTAATCCCATTTGGAACTAATTGGAAATTAAATTTCTGCATTTATTTTGGGAAACCAGTCATATATATATATATATATACACACACACAGAGACTTTGTTTTTTAGCACTTGCCGGGAGCCCATCTCATTCTGTAAGTTTCTTCTCACTCTCTGTTTTTGTAGACAATACTCTGAGCCTTGTGTGGTTGATTTTCAACTGCCTTTTTGTTTTCGATGAAACTGTTGGATATGATAATTAAGAACAAGTGAGTAGTCTAGGCTTTGGGTACTTTAAAGTTTGAACCTTTCTGCTTTGATGATCAAATCTTTTAAGTTTTGGTGGAAACCCGTCTTTTTATTATGTGCTGATTTTGATGATGGGTCTCCATTATAATTGAATAAATGTTTGCCTCTGTGTTATTATGATTGTGGGTCTCCCCAAAATTTCTCATGGAAAGTGTGAGTTTATTAATTGATGGGTGGTGATCAGTCGTCCTTCTGACTTTATATGACTGAGCTCTCCACAGAGGGCTCACTAAATTTCTGTATGGGGTCTCTAGGTGAGAGAGAGAGAGAGAGAGAGAGAGAGGTTTTGTGTGAAACTGATAATGGGTTTTTCCCAGAATACAATTATGATTTGTGTGTATATTCGTAATTATGGTAAATGATCAATTGGTTGGTCTGTTTTGTATATTGCAGAGGTATTTGCATGAGACAATGAAAATGAAGGCTGGGAGGATATTGTTGCTTCTTCTTTGTTTGAATGTGGTTACCTTTGGAGTGGTAAAGCGTCTTCCTCTACCTACAATATTTTCTTATATATATATAAGTATATATTTTTTGTTTAAACATTATTTCCACTAGAAATTTTTTCTTGTTGTCATCCCTTTTGTCTTCAACGCAGATTGCTGTTCCGCAAACATGTCCTGCATCGGATCTTGAAAGTGGGTGTAGTGATTCTGAGGAATGGAAAGGGGAATTTTTCCCTGGAATTCCCAAAATTAAGTATGAGGTAGAAAGACTTATGAAACATTTCTCTTATCTTTTTAGACCTTTTTTGTTTAGAATAATTTCCTCCTATACACATGAGATTCATATAAGTTACACATTTTTTCAGTTAACTTGATTTTGAGGAACGATTGCATCTGAATTTCTTTATGATTTTTCTTAATCAAAAAAATATCTTTATTGTTTTTGTTTGGCCAAATTTTCATTTTGTTTCTTATTAATTTAAGAAAGTTTTCATTACAAAGCTGTTGCATTTATGAATGCCGAACCTTAGTGGTTATCTTCCACCAAATATACACCATACATATTTTTTGTCTTTCAGGGCCCATCTAGCAAGAACCCCCTATCCTTCAAATGGTATAATGCGGAAGAGGAAATTCTAGGGAAGAAAATGAAGGTTGGTTCTTCTCTCTAATAAGTTTTGAATTTATCAAGCAGTTAATGGTTTGTGACTGAATTTTTTGACAATCATAGGATTGGTTGAGGTTTAGTGTTGCATTTTGGCACACATTCCGTGGAACAGGAGGTGACCCATTTGGTGCACCTACAAAGAATTGGCCATGGGAGGATGGAACTAATTCTGTGGCTATGGCCAAAAGAAGAAGTAAGAGTATTCTCTGTTATTTAAATCTTCTGCATTTTTCATTGAGAAATATATCAACTAAAGAAATATTTATATATGTGTACCTGAAAATGCAGTGAGAGCCAACTTTGAGTTCATAAACAAGCTTGGAGTCGATAGGTGGTGTTTCCATGACAGGGATATAGCTCCTGATGGAGAAACCTTGGAGGTGAGTCAATTTTTAAGGTTACTTTACTGCTGAAATTTATGACACTGTTTAGAATGTGAGCAAAGAAGGTATGAGATGGGAGATTACAATTTTTTTTTTCCATAGAAAGTACAGATGACACAAAACTGGAAAGTGTTCATTTACCTTGTATGATTGTTACAGGAATCTAACAAAAACTTGGATGAAGTGGTGGCCCTTGCTAAGGAGCTTCAGGTATCAGGAACTGATTGTATGAGTCAATTCACATAAATTATAAAGGAAATCCTTTTTCATGCAAATTGGAGTTCTGTTACAAAGGCTTAAAGACGTGACAGAAATACTTAAATCTTTGACTGCAATTTAGCCAGGGCTCGTAGGTTGTTTGATGTTCCTTTTCTAGTCACTTTACTTTGCAAATGGATTACGACCAAAAACAAAAGAAAAAGAAAACCTTTGCAAATGGAGTCAATTGTACTTTACCTCCAAAACCCCTTGGTAGTCAAAATTTTCTCTACTTAATTGCTAACCAGGTGAAGTGAAAAATGTAAAATGTCTTAAGTATTCACAAAACCAGCATTCTTATTTTAGCATTTTCATTGTTTTCAACACCTTTGTCTATTCTATAGATGCCAACTTGTTTGTGTACATATGTTTCAAGTATAAGAAGTCATCTCCCTCATTTAAATTCCCTGTTGTGTGACCGTAGGGAAGCAAAATTCGACCTTTGTGGGGCACAGCTCAGCTGTTTCTGCATCCTCGCTACATGCATGGTGGTGCTACAAGGTAATCTTTGTATTAAATATTTAATATACTCTGTTCTTGGACTCATTGCATGGACTAATACACTCAACATGCTTTACAGCCCTGAAGTAGGTGTATATGCATATGCTGCTGCTCAAGTTAAGAAAGCCATTGAGGTGGGTGTTGGTGTGTGTAATAACAATTAATAAAGTTAATTGTTTGCGTGTATGTAAATTTTTAATGTTGTTATTTCTTTGAAATGTCTGTGATGTGTTACATATCCTGCAGGTCACACATTATTTAGGGGGCGAAAATTATGTCTTCTGGGGTGGCCGTGAGGGTTACCAGAGTCTCTTGAATACTGACATGGGACGAGAGCTTGATCATCTGGTGTGTTTTATTTGCAGATATTTTAAACTATGAGCTTCCTTTCATTTATGCATTCATCTTCTGTCTCTTTTAATTTTTTTTTTTTTTTTTTTGGCTTGATAAGAATTCAACTTTTCTCGAGTAAACCATCTTTTGGCAACTGTAGTGCAAACCTACCAAGGGATCTGCTTTATTTATGCTACCATATTACTGTGATCTATTCATTGTTTTCATAATGATGCCTTCCTCATTACTTAGCATGAGCTGTTGTTTGTATTTACAGGCACGGTTTCTTGAAGCTGCAGTTGCCTACAAGAAGAAAATTGGATACAATGGTATGCTTGTGCTAAATTTATACCAATGCATTATACCAGATAGTTTTATAACTGACTTAGTTTTTCACATTTACTGAGAATTTTATGAATGATTTCTCAACACTCCTTTTGAATTTTTATTTGTTTAATTTATATTTTTTTTCATGAATTGCTTTGCTTCGGAGAGCTTATATTTTTCTTTCCCTTCGGTGCCATTCAGGGACACTGTTGATTGAACCCAAGCCTCAAGAACCTACCAAACACCAGTATGCTGCTTGCTTGATTACTTAGTAATTTAATATGGTTTACACTCATCTGTTTGTTTACACCTATGAGTTGATTATGTTAGGTATGATTGGGATGCTGCAACATCAGCAAATTTCCTTCGAAAATATGGCCTAATAGGTGAATTTTTCACATACCCTCTATATTCATGAGTCACTTAACTTTGTTAATTTAAGTTTTTGTTTCAGCTCTAGAGTTGGCTGTATGAATGAGATGAATTGTGGAATTTCATACGGTACAATAGGTGTTTTGTATTTGGTTTTTGTACTCCTGTCGGACATGCCATTTTGCACCCTACTCCATTTATTTGAATTATTTATGTAAAAGTTTTGTTTAACAGTGTAGTATCCTTCCTTAAATTGGAACTGGAAGTGCAAACCCATTGAAAGGTATTTTTCAGAAGTAATCCTCAACCTTGGCATCCCTTTTCCTTTTGTAGGAGAATTTAAACTTAACATTGAGTGCAATCATGCCACGCTATCTGGTCACAGGTACATCACAGCTTGTGTCTTACCTCATCTGAAGCAAATATTTACTTCATGTTTCTCCCTAGAGTTTTGTGAACACATGAGAAAATTTGGAATACTTTGTGTTCTTTGCAGCTGTCATCATGAGCTTGAAACTGCAAGACTCAATGGTTTATTAGGAAATATTGATGCAAACACTGGAGATCCTCAGACTGGTATACCATACTTGTATTATTTTTTTGAATTTATTGGTACTGAACCAATCTAAGAATGAAATTTATAATATGGTCATTTTGTCATTGTCACAGGATGGGATACAGATCAATTTCTGACAGATATTGCAGAGGCAACTCTGGTTATGCTCACTGTAGTAAAGAATGTATGTCAGAGATGAATCTTTTTCACTTTAATGTTTTAAGTTTTAAGAACTTGTGATCAGTTGGGCATGCAATTTCATGAGCTGAATCCGTGTGTGTGTTCCTTCTTTTTCCCCCTTATCACAGGGAGGAATTGCACCGGGCGGATTCAACTTCGATGCAAAATTGTCAGTTTCTGTCTTTACATTTGATTTGTCTTTGCATATTGTGATATCTGTTATGCTGGTACCTTAGTGCCCTCTTATATTGTTTTGCTTTTTCACCTCTTTAGACGGAGAGAAAGCACAGACGTTGAGGATTTGTTCATTGCTCATATTAGTGGAATGGATACCCTGGCGCGTGGGCTCCGAAATGTTGTGAAGCTCATTGAGGTAGTGTGTGCATCCCTGTGTGTGTGCAGACTCTCCTTTATTTACTTCTCAACGAATCTTATGTTTGTTTCTACTTGCTAATCATTGGTATTATATCTCTTCTTTTGTGAATTACAACATTAAGGATGGTTCTCTGGATGAGCTTGTTCGCAAGCGGTATGAGAGTTTCGATACAGAAATTGGCGCACATATAGAGGTAACAATTTTCAAACACTTCTTCTCATTTTTTGGTTTTAAATTGCCTAGATGGCTAATGCACGGTAATGCACCTTGGACAGGCTGGTAAGGGTGATTTTGAGTATCTTGAGAAGAAGGCCATAGAATGGGGTGAACCCAAAGTTCCTTCTGCCAAGCAGGTAATTTGAAATATACATTTTGTTTAAAACAATTCCTTCGATCAATGAAGTACAGAACTTTCCTTCACGTATTCCAGTGATTGTTTATTTTTGCCTGAGATACAATGTTACAATAAAGTTTTGGAATCTCTCAGGAACTTGCGGAGATGCTTTTCCAGTCGGTTTTGTAGACATGCAGCGCAGCGTAGGATAACAAAAATAATATATATTGTAATCATTACCAATAAAGGACACTCTTTTCTATGTTTCCGAAAAACATACAAGTAACCAGTTGATTCAGATCCTTGTAACCGTCTAGAACTTGCATATTTTGCTTGCATAGGATGATATAAAATGCATGTCCATGGTAGCGTTGACATTGAGCTTTTAAGCTGTGATTTGGTCATTTGCTGTTGAAGTTCCCCCTTTCTATTTCAAGAAATATCTAGTGCATGAAATGGAGCGTAGTTTGGCATGTAGTCTCTCTGGTCTGGACCAGTATGTGCAGTTCGATGATCTTAGCATCTGCTTAAACCCTCTTAAAGAAAATCTTGGTGGATTCGGAACATGTCTACTTAAAATCGGTTAAGTCATGACTTGGGGAAGTTGTGATTAGGATTAAAGGAATAGTATGATATGAACTATCATTACCAATTTAATTCTTGGTTTTTCAGATATTTGATTATGTATAATTTGGAAATCACAATTTTTTTTTTCTCTATTAGTAAATGCAAGTAAAGTTATGAGTGTAATTAAGTTTATGTCATGTTTACTTATTAGGAATGGGGGAAGATATATTTTGAGCGAGGAACTTAGATAAGAGAATCAAGAAATTGGAATTGGATGAACTACTCTAGGAAGTCAGAAATTGGAATATTCTCATTCCGTGTAAGTAAACATTATTAACAAAACACAATTAACCGTTGAAGTTCTAAGCTTAGAGAATTTAACATAAACAAATAATGATTCTCTATGTAACCCAATGAGCTGCAATTCATGCCGTAGAAAAAGAACAAACTAATGTAGGATGGGCCCCTTCTTGTTTATGGGTAAAGCGAACACATCTTTGCTTCTCCACCGCTCAGTTGTATTATCCACTTACTCAAAACTCTATATAAGATAAGAACCCCAAAAAGAAAAAAGAACAAAAAAAAAGGGTCCAGCACCAGAAGAAGCAGAGAGAACGATGAAGCAGCTCAATCTGGCACTACAAATATGCTTAACGACCTCTCTGATACTACAGCTAGTCACTTGCTCAAACTTAACCCCAACGCCCAACCCATGGCCAGACCAATTCCATGCACTTTTGTTTATGAACTTGAGCACAACAAAGCTGCAACTCAGTGACCTCTGGTACGACTGGCCTAAGGGCCGAAACGTCAATATATTTCAGAAGCAGCTGGGTGAGGTTTTGTATGACGTAGAGTGGAACAACGGCACGTCGTTTTACTACACCATAGGGGAAAATGGAGCATGTGAGGTTATGGAGTTTGAAGTTGGCATTCCTAGGCCTGATTTTCTTCTTGATGGGGCACACTATCTTGGGACTGAAGTCACAGATGGGTTTCTTTGCAATGTGTGGGAGAAGGTGGATTTTATTTGGTATTATGAGGACGTCTACACTAGGAGGCCAGTTCGCTGGGATTTCTATGATGGTACGCATGTGATTCATCTTAATTACTTGCAATGTTTGTTTACATTTTCCCTTTATTTCCAGGAAATGCTATTAACACTTATGTTGCTAGATTGACAGTCTTATAAGATAACATTACACATCTGACAAGAGAATACTACCTTATTTGTATTTGTTTAGTTTTTTAGATGTATACAGAGAGACTATGAACACGTATGTAGCTATATTGACCGTATGAGAACATAACATTGCACATATCTAGCAAGAGAACATTATTCTTATATGTATTTGATAACATATTGCAGGAATATCTAGTCAGGTGATGACATTTGAGGTTGGTGCAGTTTTGCCAGATTCAGTGACTCAAGCACCTGCATACTGCTTTAACCAAGAGAAAGATGCATAAGCTTTAGAAAGTAAATGGTTAACCAAGAGAAAGCCCTTGAAGAAAACCTTTTGTGAGTTGTGACCCATAGAGTCGATGGAGTGGATTATTGATCTTTGTTGTTGGCCAGTATTATTAGCTTATTATCAAATACACAGACTAATTGAGCAACTAGGAGCAGAAAAATTATGTCGAAATAATTAATCTTTGTTCTGAACAAATAAGTTTACCAAACTCAACAAGGCAGGCTGCTGTTTGTGTCCCATGTAAAATTAGTCAAGGGTAGGTACTTGGTAGTTGGTGGGGGTGGACACGGTTCGGTCCAGTAATTTTCACTTTACACTGGAATCAGAAGCAATACTACTCAACGGATATGATTCAGTCCGGTTTAAATCAATTTTAGTGCGGTTTTTTAGTTTTCCGGTTTTGGACCGGATTTTTTAAATATATATTTCAAAATTTATTTTATTTTATTTTATACAAATTCCAATTAAAATTTTATTTGTTGGGCTTGAAAATTTACAAATGACTCAATTTCATGCAAAGATAAATGATTGGGTTTAGAAAAGAGAGGTGCTTTGAAGTTGGGCTTAGGAAAATATTATTTATGGAATTAGAAATTTAGCATTGGACTTTAAAAAAAAATTTAAAAATACACACCTAGTCTGGTCTGCTTTTGTAAGGTGTGAAACCGGTACTGTAATCGATTTGAATAGATCTGGTCCGAATTTGTGACTTTTTAGTCAACACGGTTTTTTTCTTCTTCTAGTTTTTCCCTTCTGGTACGGCTCGGTGTTCTTGTTTTTTTAGTCTCGATGCCCACCCGTAGTATGATATGGATCTTCTGCTATGATTTCCTCTGTCATGATCTGCTTAATTTTCGTCTTCCACATGCCATCTCATTAAAATTTAATCTAAAGAATTTGAACTGGACTCATCATCCTTAAAATAAAAACCCAATTTACTCATGATTAAATACCAAAAAAAAAAAAAAAACCGTTAAATTGTGGAAGGAAAGTTTCACACCTTACAAAACCCTAAATTTTAATGAGGTGGTATGTGGAGAACGAAAGTCAAGGAGATCATGGCTGAGAAAATCATAGCAGAGGATATGAATCCCCTAGTAATAGGGCTGGGCATATTCATTGAGAAACTAGTCAAATCGGTCTGGTTTTTAAATAATTATTTTGAAAATTCGTTCTCAAACCAAACCAAACCAAATAATTCAATCTTGTTCACAATTTGAATATTGCCAAACGGCTGGTTCGTTCGGTTGCTTGGACATTGTCAAATATTTCAAAAACTAGTACGCCAAAGGGAGTCAAAATTATGACATATAGCTGCGCATTAAGCCAACTTACCATTATGGTAATCACTTTTCTTGTGATATCTTTGTACAATGAGGGTTTTTATTTTTATTTTTTGGACTAACGACATTTTACCCCATCAAGGTTTAGGTGTCGTATCGACATGGGACTTCAGGTTTCAGTTTCATCAATTTGATACCTAACATTTTAAAATCTGACCAATTCACACTTCCCCTTAGATTGACTGTATGGTCAAACGTTAAATGCTACTATTGCAATTGCAGGACCCACAACAGATCCTAACATGCCAGTCCAACTAGTCCACGTGAAGTGCATTTTAGGAAAGAAAAAGAAACAATAAAAATAATTTTAAAATAGTATTTTTAAAACCAAAAAACAAAAAATAAAAAAATTCCTAGCCCTAGTAACCCTCTCTCAACCACTTTTTGCAAACCCTCCACAAACCCCCCTCCCCCCAAAACCACCCCAGGCCTAAAATTCACCTAATGAGGGATCAACGACCATCCTTCGCCGGCCTCCAAGCCTTTGATCGAGGACTTCAACCTTACACTCAATGTCAGGAATTGATGCCTCCTCGTAGGATCCAACGGTGCCTAGAAAACCACGATCTTGAAGATCTTGGGAGGCAAGCACATACGATATTATACTTTAAATTAATCTAAACTATAGGGAGGTGGATTTGAAATCAAGTGTAGAGCGGGGATCACATTTGCTCTAGCCAACTTGGCTAAGTCTATGTTTGCTACTTGATGTGCCTCATCTCTCTCTTATCTTCTTTGTCTCCCTCTCTCTTTTCTCTTTCTCTTCTATTCCACGCTCTCTTTTCACTGTCACTCTTTCTCTACCGTCGCCGCTTCATATTCTCTTCATTTCTTCTCCTTTCACAAGTATCTCCTTAAATCTCACAGCCTCGTCACCTAGCTCTCCCCTAGAAACCTGATCGAATCGAAACCGAACGTCTATTCGGTACACCAACGCCATCAGTTTTATGGTGCAGCAATTTGGTACCTCTATGACAATGGAGATGTAGTTGGTTTTGGTGCGAGCATTGAAAGATAGGAAAGCTATTGGGCTCATGCATGGACATTGCCAAGAACTTTTCTTTGTAAGGGTGACTTCGAAATAAGGTTTGACAAAAAGTAATGCGAAGATGACCATATTTTTCTACCATTGATCACCTATCTATCAATTTAAACAAGGTCGGCTCTATAAGGAATTTGTAGCTTTAGTGGTTTACAATATTGGATCCTAAGCCTCTATATTAGCAACTATGCATTTACCCGTATTTCGCAAGATCTGAACCATTCTAATAATCTAATGACTCAAGATATAACAGATCAGTTTTTAACTTTTGGCACCTATCTATTCAATTAACTCAACATAATTATTAAAAAAATAAAAAAAAAATAAAGAAAAAAAATAAAAACCTAGCGTCATCCTACCTACGCTTGAGAGAGAGAGAGAGAGAGAGAGAGAGAGAGAGAGAGAGAGAGAGAGAGAGAGAGAGAGAAGAGAGAGAGAGAGAGGGGTCGGCTTTAATTATTATTATTAATTTTAATTTATTTAGACTTAACGATGTTAAGTTGGAATTAATTATATAGATGGGTGTCAAAATTTAAAAATTGATGTGTCATATCTTGAATCATTAGATTATTATAATGGTTCAAATCGAGCAAAATGCGGTAAATACATAGTGCTTAAATGTAGAAGCTCGGGATCCAGTAATATTTACTATGTACTCGAAGTCTTAGGGTCGATTATTCCTTTCATAATATCGCTTGTATAAAAAAAAATTGAAAAAAAAAAAAGAGGCCAAGCCTGACGGGAGTTTGAAGAGGGAATCACCTAGTAACCATGTCCTAGAAGGCCCCACAAAAAGTCTCTTGGGTTTTCAAATATAGGCATACCAAATAGAGGTCTCAAAAGGACCAGGCCAGCCTGAGCATGATACGATTAAGTAAGGCTCGACACCTCACGCGCAGTATCTTTGGATGAACTGGGACAAGGAAATTCGGCCAAATGGGACATGCTAGCCTGTTTAAAGCTCATTTATTAAATTATATTTGTTTTAGAGAAAAATAATACTTAATATTATTATATTTATATCTTAAACTCAAGTCTATTTCTTTTCTCTAATAAAATAATGATTTTGTTTATGAAGTTTCAATTTTTTAAACCTGAACAATAATCTAGCTATTTTCTATTTAACATGTACTTCAAATAAAGTTATTGGCTAGCTTCTTTTTCCAACAAATAATAAATCTTGTTAGTATATGCATAATTAAAAAAAAAAATGAAACGATATCAAAAAAAGCAATACGTAAGTCAAATTTGGCGAGGACCCATATCGGCATGTTTAGTGACCCGACACGAGCCCAGGTTGGTCCCATATGGACTAAGGTAGTGGGGTCAGGCCAAGCTTGATGATTTTCATAAATAGATTGGCCTTGTTTGATACCTCTATTATCAAATAGATTTCTTTGAGCTTTTGACTCAAATTCTATTTTTAAGTTTAAAAAGTTGGATTCAAATAGAATACCAAACATGCTCAGGTTGTGTGGGATAATGAGTTCTTCAACTTTTGGATTAATTAAGGTGTTAACTCAATATATCTTTTTTATTTTTCCTTTGGAATGAAATTAATCATCAATAAATGCATCTGGAAATTAATTAATTGAAAACTGATTATTTGGTATATGATATCTTATTTGAGACTCAAATTTGGTATAAAATTTGGTATCTTGCAATTATTCTTTTATTTTTAGACTAACCACATTATACCCATTATAGGTTTGGGGCATTATTGAAATGGGCCACAAAATTTCAATTTCATCAATTTATACCCTAAATCTTAAGATTTGTTCAATTTACACATCTTATCAATTTGATCGTCTAATGTTATGTTAAGTTGATGATGTGGCAAGTGAGGAACCCACCTTTGTGTTAATTAAAACACTACCTGAAGCCCTTATCTGCTTATCGAAGGCTGATTCAGTGGGGATGGAACATATAGCTTTAACCCAGCCTTGTTCGTACTATGAGGCCTCTAAGAGCAGTTTTGGCAACAAGGGTTGTGGGGGGAGGGTTTAGGCCCAAAAATCGTTTCCAGCAGCAAGGGGTGGCCAGGGCAGGAGGTGGGGCCCACAACCTTTTGCAAGGGCAGCACTATTCACATGAATAGTAACTGCCCTAGTCCTCCCTTACCATGGCAAAGGACAAACTGGTGGAAGTGCTCTAAAGGATCACCATTCCTCCATTGCCATGGCTATTGGATCATCCCCTATTCCACCCGTAAGAGCTAGGATGCGGTGGATGATGGTGATGGTTAGAAGGCTGCCTATACGATTTGCGCAAATTCATATATACAAACAGGGTCCATAGCAAACCCCTCCAAGCTTTAACAATTCCACCCAAACCCCTCCAATAACACTAACCCATTAACCAAATTAAGGAATTTTTATTGTTTTTTTATTGGCACATCAGCACGAAGTGGGTCCCTCACTTGCCACGTCATCAATTTAACAAAACATCAGACTGTCAAATTGACAAAATGTGTAAATTGAACAAATCTTAAAGGGTGTTGTTAAATGAACCTAAAATTAACTGACTACACCTTATGATCTAAGTACACCATAATATTTAAATCAAAATGTAAAATGAACTAAGTACATCTTATTTAATTACCAAAAAATACCTATGGTACACCCTATTTTCTTCCACGTCGATATCTTCCTTCTTCATCCCATTAGGCACTTTCCAATCATACCAGTAGAGAAGATTTCCAAGTCCAAGCTGTAGTGTTGCTATTCCCATACATCCCAGGACAAATTCTTCAACCAGCTCCAAATGGTAAAAACTCAAAGTGCTACCCTTTATAATCAATGAACCTGCCATCAAACCTTTATGGGATGAATTCTTCTAGGTCTTTCCAAGACTCAGGGTCTCGTGCAATTGCCTAGCCATTGACAAAGACAAGTGTTTTGGGGTCAATATCATAACCTTGGAATTTGAAATGAGACATGGTTTCTCTTGGAATAATCATTGGAGCTGGAGGATGCAATCTCAGGGTCTC